TTTTTTATTTATTTTATATTTTATTTTATTTATTTATTTTGTTTTATTTTATTATTTTATTTTATTTATTTTATTTTATATTGAGACAGAGTCTCACTCTGTCACCCAGGCTGGAGTGCAGTGGCGTGATGTGGACTCACTGCCACCTCCGCCTCCCTGGTTCAAGCGATCCTCCTGCCTCAGCCTCCTGAGTTGCTGGGATTACAGGTGCCGCCACCACGCCCGGCTGATTCTTGCATTTTCAGTAGAGACAGGGCGTCTCCATGTTGGCCAGGCTGGTCCCGAACTCCTGCCGTCAAATGATTTGTGGATGGTCGGAAGCTCCTGACCACGTGATTCGGCCACGTCGGCCGCTCAGTACTGGGATTACAGGCTTGAGCCACCGTGCCTGGCTAAAATTTTACTTTTCAGAAAACAAGGGGTGGGCATGGTGAGTCACATCTGTAATTCCGGCACTCTGGGAGGCCCAGGTGGGTGGATCACCTGAGGTCAGGAGTTTGAGACCGGCCTGGCCAACACAGGGAAACCCCGTGTCTACTAAAAATACAAACATTAGTGGGGTGTGGTGGTGTGTGCCTGTAATCCCAACTACTCGGGAGGCTGAGGCAGGAGAATTGCTTGAACCCAGAAGGCAGGGGTTGCAGTGAGCTGAGATCACGCCATTGCACTCCAGCCTGGGCCACAGGGCAAGACTGTCTCAAAAATAAATACATAAATAAATAATTCAGGGCGAACAGCTGATATTAAGAGGCCTTCAGATGGATAGTTTAGCAGGGGATGTTAAGATCCTGAAGTCCAGCATACTCACTGCACAGAGAAAGATACTGAGGGTCAGAGTGGCAAGGACACTGGGAAAACATCCCACAAAAGTACTCAGTCTAAAAGCATTTTAGATGAAGAAATTATCTCCTGAGACATTCACGGAGATGTATTCTTAACTTGCTCAGAGGACAGAGGAGAAAGATGTGAAGGTCAGTAGAAAACGCTCAGCATCCATATCCCAACCACTGGGGCATGATGCTTCAGGCCAACAGCAGACCGGCCCGGGGAGAACTGCCAGGTCTCCGGTTCAAGGTCACGCCCCATCCTGTCAACTCCTGGGTCACACTGGCACTAAGTCCTGTAAACTCAAAGTGTAGGGTTACCCTAGGGGTCCTGAGTCGGGGAGTGTAAGTCATGTGGGATGGTGTTAGGGAGTATGGGTCATGTGGGTGGTGTTAGGGACTGTGCAGGTATGCTAGCTGTGGTGACTACAGGATTCGGGGTTGAACTCTGGGAGGTGTTAGGGACTGTGCAGGTGTGCTAGCTGTGGAGACTGCAGGATTCGGGGTTGAACTCTGGGTGGTTTATAGGCTCTAGGGTTATGCTCGCAGTCCTGAGAATGGTCCGTTGTTTCACTTACCAGTGTGTTTTCCGTGTCAGGCTGGGAGTTCTAGGAACAAACAACACAGAATACAAGGCTCAGTGTTCGAGGTTCTAACCCACTTCAGACGGTCCATCCCCACATCCAGCTCAACCCAGTGTCGACAAAGAGAGATCCTGTCCCATGTCCATCCACACCCAGTGTAGACAGCAGGAGACCCTGCCCTGCGTGTGAACTTTCTAACCCACTTCACACGCTGTCCCTCTGTGTGGGCACCGAACAGGTAAGTGTCCTGAGTAGCTGCCGGCAGCTCTCCCTCCACAAACCCCAGATCTACAGGACACAGAGGTGAGGAGTTGCAAACACACACTTCCTGTACCCACAGCTGCTGACCCACCCACGCAGGCCCCAATGGCCTTGGGACAGGGTCCCCTCCTGTCTACACTGGGTGCAGGTGGTCCTGGGACAACATCTCCTCCTGTCTACACTGGGTCCAGGTGGATGTGGAGCAGAGTCTCCTGTCTACACTGGATTCAGGTGAACGTGGGGCAGGGTCTTCTGTCTATACTAGGTTTGGATGGACATAGGTCAGGATATCCTTTTGTCGACACTGGGTTGAGGTGGATGTGGGGCAGGGTCTCCTCCTGTCTACACTGGGTGCAGGTGGAGGTCCGGCAGGGTCTCATTCTGTCTACACTGGGTCCAGGTGGAGGTGGGGCAGGATCTCCTCCTGTCTACACTGGGTGCAGGTGGATGTGGTGCAGGGTCTCCTGTCTACACTGGATGCAGGTGGAGGTGGCGTAGGGTCTCCTCCTGTCTACACTGGGTGCAGGTGGATGTGGTGCAGGGTCCCCTCTGTTTACACTGGATGCAGGTAGAGGTGTGGCAGGGTCCCCTCCTGTCTACACTGGGTGCTGTGTCTACGCTGGGTACAGGTGGAGGTGGGGCAGGGTCCCCTGTGTCTACACTGGGTTCAGGTAGAGGTGGGGCACAGTCTCCTCCTGTCTACACTGGGTGCAGGTGGAGGTGGGGCAGGGTCTCCTCCTGTCTAAACTGGGTGCAGGTGGAGGTGGGGCAGTGTCCCCTCCTGTCTACACTGGGTGCTCTGTCTACACTGGGTGCAGGTGGAGGTGGGTCAGGGTCTCCTCCTATCTACACTGGGTGCAGGTGGAGGTGGGGCAGTGTCCCCTCCTGTCTACACTGGGTACAGGTGGAGGTGGCGTAGGGTCTCATGCTGTCTACACTGGGTGCAGGTGGAGGTGGGGCAGAGTCCCCTCTTGTCTACACTGGGTGCTCTGTCTACACTGGGTACAGGTGGAGGTGGAGCAGGGTCTCATTCTGTCTACACTGG